CAAAAAATGTATAAAACAAATCTCAACTTTGTATGCATCCTTCATGATTGTCTATTATTGTCTTTGTTGTCCACTGCTGTCATCACTCTGTTAAAAATCAGGTCCCTCTTGTAAATGAGTCCCTGAGGCTCAATGGGATTAACCTGTCTAAATAAAGGTTGAATGAATATAGGCCCAAGATCTCTTAATGTTGTGTGTGTATGTATGTATACAGGCAACACGTGTTAAAAATAAATCTTAGACAAGCAATCCAGTCAGGGAAGCACCTGCGCACACGGCGATGATTACCAAAGGCTGATGATGTCACACCAGAGATCAGCCACAGGCAGGAGTGTGGCGCTTGGTGTACTCTTCCTCTCTTTCCTCTTCTGAAACAAATCATGGATCGCCCACTTCATCATGAAAGTCTGTCTCAGACTCAGACTTTTTTTCTCTGTCATATCTGCCTTTCAGCTTCCCTATTCTGTCTGAGAAGTTCTGACTCTGAAGCTCCGTCCATCTCTGGGTCCACGGCTACATCCCCCTCCTCAAACAGATGTTGCAGCCTCATGTTCAAAAATCACTTCAGTGTTTTGACTCAGGCAAACTAAAACTGACTGAACTAAACACACTAAACTACACCCGTACTTTAAAATCCAGATAGCTAAACGTCACAAATTTCTCATCTCTCATAACTCACTCTTGCTCTTGTTGTGTGTCACCACTGAACTTCCTTAAACTTCTGCATTTTTTTCTTCTTCCTGTAGATTTTTAGGTACTTGACAAATAATGTTGGGCCTCAGAAAGGGTCAGAAAGGAGGCTGTTTGTTTGTTTGGTGGGGGCAGGGGTAAAAACTGATGCTGGTGTTTTCTCCATGAGGTTGTCTGTCTTTGAAGCTCCCTCCTTCCGTGAGCAATAGTGATCTGCTATTTTCCATGATGGGCTCCACGACGTGACATCACGCCCCATAATGGAAGTGAAGGGGCTATTTCCAAAGCCATCACTGAAATAACTTGAAATCATCACAAAACATATATTAAAAACAGGTTCTATAACTTTTCAAAGTTCACTTCAGAACATAGGTATTTTTATTATGTCTCTATCATGTTTTGGTGGATATAATATGAAAAATGGTGGGTGTAGGACGTTAATTCTTGGCTGATACGTTGGGTTGGCTGTGATCTGTAAAGTTGCACACATTAGTTCAAGGTGAATAAAGCCAATATAGCTCTTCATACTTCCATTTCCAGTTTATTTCATTTTACTAAGCACGGGCATTTTGTCAAGTTTAATATCATAAATGTAAACAATTCCAATTTTTATACTAAACTGAGTTTTCTAAAGCATGAGGGAAGAAACTGCTTTTAAGTCCACCGGTATAAAACTTGATGCTTTACATCACGTCACATACAGAAACTGTGAGGTGAATAGGCTGTAGATTGTCTTCTGGTTTCCTTCAGGCTTTTTTTACACATTTCAGCACACCATGATACTGGTGATACTGGTGATACAAACATTTTCCTGTTTGGACAGAATGATGTTCAGAGCAATATACAATAATCGCCCAGTTCTGTGCATTTGTTTGGGGTCATGACAGGTAGATGCTTTCACAACTTGAGAGTTAAAAAGAAGTTTCTTGTTGTGTTAAGCAATCTTTGTAACAGTGGTGGACCATCAGGGCCAGCAAAGCATTCTCTGCTGGCATAAGCACAATCAGAATCACTAACTTACCATCCAGCCATTATCTTCCACTTATTCCAAAGTCGGATCGCGGTTTACATTGCATTTACACTTACATTTTAGTATATATTTTCTATTAAATGTTATTATTCTGAAATGTCTGTTCTTTTCATTTCTTAGTTGTTTATCCTGGATGTGCAGCTTCCTGTAGTTTATGTTAATGTAGAGCTTTTATCCAATCATATTTCAACAATCATGTGTTGCTAGGGTCAAAGAAAGCTGCCTTGGGGCTTTCAGAATCAACAGCTGTTAAACAAATAGTGAAACTGTTGCTTTGACCAATTAGATGTTGAGTTGGTGACAGGGGGACTTCTAGCAACGTCACCATTTTCACGCCGTTTGACTGGACGGTCAGAGAATGTACTGGTTGGTGCTAGGAAAGTGCACCTGTAGCGACCTGCACAAGCTAAATGTCGAGCGGACACTCTCAGCCTTTAAGTGAATTAAAACTTGTGCCAGAAACACGACAGAGCAGACTCGACTGTCAGCGTTAGCTTCATTGAAATGAAACACCACGATGACCTGTAGGTCAGAGGATTTGAACTCTTTTTGAGGAAAGAAATGAGGATGTAGTTTATATACAGATAATCAAAATTTTTGCCGAGTAAAATGCATTTTTTTCAAAATGTTTTATATTTTTGTCAGTTTATTACATCTGTATTGGTGCTTTTCATGTATATGTAAGTGGTGCAGCTGTGGCTGCAGCTGGAGGAAACGTGTTGAATTGTGTTAAGTGTGGTTCTTGCTTTAGTAATGGCATTCATTCTCACTACATGATATGCCTGTCTGTGATGCAGCATCATATTATTCTGCATTTCTGTGTTTTATTGATGGTTTCTTTAGCTGTGGCATCATGATGGCATTAAGAGGTGGATACAATCAGGCAGGACACCACTTAAGGCCTAGATGCAAAGAGCATGGCCCGCTACTGCTTTGGAACAATGTTTCAGTTTCACAGGGAAGAAGGACTGTAGAACATAAAGATCCTACAGCAGTGTTGAGCAAGTTTACCTTTCACAGGAAATGCTTCAAAGTTCTTTTCACACAGATTAGAACTGAATTAATTATGTTTAGCTTGCCCTACTTTAAAATTCTGAACCAAATTTACACTTTTACAATGAACTACAGTAGTTTTTATTTATTTATCAACTTAAAACTGCAATTGACAATAGTTATGGTGATGGGCTATTAGCATAAAACCAGTGTCAGCAGCGAACAGTCCAGTTTGATCTCTGTCAGCTTGTTTCCTATTCTCTGTTTGTCAAATTTTCTTTAGCCAAATTTACAATGAAGATGCTCTTATTCAGAAATTATTTTGTGTGTCAGAAAGAACAAATCATCCATCCATTATCTTTAACCGCTTCTTTATTTGTGGGTAGCGAGGGTCACTGCTTCCCATATCCAACAGTCACTGTGTGAGAGACGGGACACCGTGGACAAGTCTCCAGTCCATCACAGAGACACATAGAGACAGACAACCATTCACTCTCTCACCTAGGGACAATTTAGAGTTACCAATCAGTCTAACATGCATGTTTTTGATCTGTGAGAGGAAACCAGAGTACCCGGAGAAAACCCACGCATGCACGGAGAGAACATGCAAACTCGACCTAGAGAGGCCCCTGGCCGGGATTTGAACCAGCAACCAGCTCACTGAGAGGCAGCAGCTCTACCAACTGATGCCACCAACAACGAAACAAATAAACAAAAAAGTAAAACATTCTGACAGAAAAGCGGTTCATTAAAATATATATTTTAAAATACAGTTAAATCCATTCACTATAAGCTTGATGGTTTATTTGATCCAAATTCAGATTTAGTTGAAGCACCTTGTCATCTGCTAAAACCTTCACTGGACTTACACTGTTGCTGGACGTCTGCAGAGTGCCAGATCTGATGTACAGGCATTAGCATACGTTCTCAGCTTTGAAGGTTCAGGAATCTTCCTTTAATTTGTGTTAACTTTAAAATGAAGATGAGAGGTGGACATTTTACCGCTAACAGGTCCTCACAAAAATAAGAAAGCACAGATGTGTGTAAAAGAGCCTGATGAAGTATTATGCACACTGCAGACACAAATATCCTGTCCTTGAGGGAAAATATTGACTCTGTTCTGCATAAAGTGCATGAAGTTTGCCCATCTGTCAGAACAATTTTGTTAAGTTTAAAGTTCACAAAAAATAAATGAATGCCACCTCTAAAAGTGCTGACATGAACACATTTGTGCAGAACACTCTCCAACAAGTAAACTTGGAGCAGACAAGGTTAGCAAACAATCATGTAAAAAAACTGAACACTTTCTTCCAGCTCAATGGCTTTGTATTTCAGAACATAATAAAAATGTTTTACATTTTGAAAAACACTGTGTTTTCAAAATGTTGGGCTAGTTTTACATAGGCTTTTATTTGTACTTTTAAACGTACAGTACACACTGCATAAGCATGTACTTTTGTAGAGCCTTTGTATTGAGTTTTCTCTGTAATGGCCTTATTATCCATGCTTTCTGTAGGAGGAAAGTTTATAAAGAGACACCATCCAGCAACCTCTGTAGAACCAAATGTTGCTCTATATGTAAAGCTAGTGAAGTTTGTAATAAACAGCTGCTTATTGGCAAATAATTGTTTTTCTTAGCAGTTCTTGCTATATGAAGGTTTGTGTCTTGACAGTCCATGGGCTGAGATTATCTTGATTTTTCCCCAAGTCACAATGGGTATAAATGGCTACAACCAATGCAATGTCAAATAAAGCTCACATAACTGATATATTACGTTATATAAAACAGTAGTTAAACAGCAACAAACGCTACCCTTGATGTAGTTAGAGGTCACCATTCAAGGGCTTTTACAACACATATATGTAGCTCCCTGGTTTATTGTGATTGTGTGTATAATCATCAAACTTACTCTCATTAGCTTCTATTCTTCTCATACACTGACGGCTGAACCAAATAATGTTACAGAATTTAATTATTGTGACCTTTTGTCAACGTACTCTGAGGCCATTACAGTCACGACTGGGAAAGAGCTCTGATCTCTGCTTTTCTGCTTCAGACATTCTCTTCCAAACTGAGAAAGTGCAAATTTGAGACATGAAAAATGTTGCAGTTGGACGTGTTTGGAATCGTAATACTTGCTTAGGTCCACATTCATGGGACTGTAATAGTGATGGGTTGATTTAGCTGTAAAGTGTGGTGAGATTGCAGCTTCGCTGGTCAAAGAGGTGTTAGAGGTGTCAATGGCAGGAATTAACATGCGTGCTCTGTCATCTGTTGTCTGGCCAGAACCCACCAGAATCACCATGAGGCCCACTAACATGGAGATTATTGTTGGCGAGAGTATTGTGCTACCCTGCCAGATTGCCTACGATCCAGCTCTGGACATCTCTTTTTCGTGGGTGTTCAATGGCCAGCTCATCGACTTCCAGCGAGACAGTGATCATTTTGAAAGAGTAGGCGGGGTAAGTCATCTTAAAGCTTTTAACTTGGATATTTTCTGGATGTTCAAGGATTAATTGAGCCATGCTGTATTGTATACAAGAGCATACTCTAGTGCTCTGATAAGGGCCTCTTTCACACCATTATACCCAGGCACAAAGATTTAAGTCAGAATATGAATACCTTGCACCAAAAACGTAAAGGTTTACTTGCATCCCCTGTTTAGTTTCAGTCCAGAATAACACTCATCTCGAAAACAATAAACATTCACTATTTAAATCCCCAGCGATGAGGAACATCAGCAAACTGCTTCTATCAAGTTTCATAAGGCAGGGGTGCCAACACTTTTTCAGCATGGTGCTACTTTTAAAATGACCAAGTGAAAGTGGCCTTGTTTACACAGAACAACCTCTGGAAACATTAGTGTGTTTTCAATGTTTATTGGGAGTAATAAACAAAACAAACAAACAAAACAAAAAAGAGTGGGTTTACACAAAAAAGCTGTAGTTTCCATTTCAGTTGGGTTAAGAAATTATGAACATAGTGTGGCTTTAAAATGATAGTATTTTGACCTAAACTGTCATATTATTTGCTGAGCAAAGATATTCTAAGATGAGCTGTGTGGTGTGTTTGTTGAACATGTGCACAGAAAAACAGGAGCTAAATAAGACATTTTAAATTTATTTGGCAACCCTGATGCTGGGCTCAGCTGCAGTCATTGTGCATGCAGCGTCTGCATGATCACAGTTACGTCCAAACTGGTGAATCCACTAACATCTCTTTATAGCCTGGATTTGATTCATTTTGCTCCTACAAGCTGAAAAAGGGTGAGCAGCACAAAAACACTCTGCTCTCTACCATTTATTATAACTGTTGTTAGAGCAGAAAAACTTTGGACTGCTGCTGCCTGTAGTGCGCATGTGCCACTTCACACTTTGCGAGCATTTCACAGCTTCGTGAGGGTTCCCCAAAAAATCTCCACTTTGAGACCTGGATTGAGAAACCTTCAGTTTCAGAGAGAACGAGGCTGTTGTCTGTAAATGAACGGCCAAACGTTTCACGTCGTGTAAACGGGGCCTCAGACTGGCTGCCCTGTCTGTCAGTCAAGTGTCAAATTTCATACTGAGGATGGATGACAGGCTGACGTCTATTTTTTTATTGACATGTGATCTACCCAAACTACCTTTGCGATTGACCAGTAAATCGACATCGGCGTATTGGGCACCCCTGTAAGATATCAAAATAGAGACCTGAGTCAGACGTGAATCCAAGTTTTGTGAATCGAGTCCACATGCAATTTATTTGTAACATTCAAGTAATAGATTTGTTTTTCTGAACATTTAGGAGATATTCTGTCTGTCTTCATTAAAACAAACTCACAATAAAATGAAAGACCATACATTTCTTTGTCATCTGGCAAACTTACAAACCAGCAGGTGATCTTGTAATTATTTCATTCACATTAATTCTATTAAAAGACATAGTTGTATAATCTGGACTTTTACCGTTTATATCAACTGTGTGTTTCTGTCTTCTAAACCTGTGGAAAAAAACTGGTTAAATCTTTTATTGTTATTTTTACAAAGAAACCTTTTTAATGAAGTTATGATAAATTTAATATCTTTAGGATCAAATTTTCATAGTCAAGGGAGAAATTTCTATTGTATTCCTCTTCCATAATTGAATTTGCATACCTATATTTGAATCCTGAGCCCTGAGTAATGAGTGGGTTTGCTTTCGCCAAGGGCACATCTGACACCAGTAAATGTTCATTTGAAATCTTTATACCTTGAAATAATGACTCTTTGTTAAATGTTTGTTCCATTTGATGAAGGGCAAAGTTAATTGTTCAGAGCTTGTCAGTATAAAATAATTACTCACTCTTTCCTTTATGCAGTGCCATATCTTTCAACTTTTGCAGCCTGATTAGTGCCAGTCATGTGTTGAAGGTTGATATCCCATTGGAAAACACACAGTGTTGCGGACATGCCAAACTCATATCTTCATTAATGCAAATGGCAATTAGTGGTGACATTGAACAGTGCAATGGCATTTAATGAGATATAGTTTTCACAGAATATGTTCCCTCTGTCCAAAGAGATTACCAGAGCTCTGCTCAAAAGCTTCTGATGAATTAATTAACATAATTAAAGCAAGCCTGCCTCAATGCTTCCTTCCTGCCAAGACAGGAGGCCTTGCAACTCACCGCAAGCTCTCAGGTCGTCCAGGTGGCGGCTGACATTGGAAAGCAAACCAGACGTGGCGCATAAAAAACTGTCAAGTATAAGAAAAGGAGATGAAAGAAAGGGGAAAGGGGGAGAGGAGGGGTCGAGACAGTATTTTTTTCCCCCTCATAGCTGCATACAAAATCTATTTGGCTCTGCTCTCCTTTGTCAGGTGTGTTTTAGAGAAATAGGGATCCACAGGCAGTTTTTCCCTGTTGTGGAAGAGTGGAGCTATGATGACTAGCCACTAGAAGAGATTAAATCTGCTGTGACTGCAGTGAGTCTTACCTGGCTTGCCTCTGGGTGACTGGTTTCCAACGCAGCATACTCCTTTCTACAGACTGACATGCTTTGTGACAGCCCACTTCAAGAGGTGGCTTTCAGAGAGTGAATGCTATCAGTAATCGAAATAGGAACACAGTGGACAAGTCTGGATAAATTCAAGTAAAACAAGGATAGAAATAACATTATCTTTTATTTTACCTTGAAGTACAGACGCCATTGAAACAAGTAAGGCTGCAGAGATATTTACTTTCTCATTCTGTTGAAACCCATCAGAAGACCCATCCTGCTGTTCAGATTCTGTATGCACAATATTTTAACCAGTTCAGTGTATGTGATGCTTGTGACACTGTGCAGCCTGGTCTAAAATGATTTCACTTGCACTTTGTGTCATAATAATGCGAACATGAAGGCATATAAACTGCACAGTGTTTGTTTAAATGCATATTGTAATGTTATGGATGTTTGGAGTTGTGATTTTTGATGCACTGTGAGATTTATTTATGCTTTTCTTACTGACAGAAGCTTTGATGGTTGACGCTACATTGTAGTGCTGGCATGAGAAATGTTATCTTTGGCGTCCTGAAACTGATATAGCAGGTTTTTTTTCTTCTTCTTGCCATTGGAGTCAGCTGTCTGAAAAACATAGAAATATAATTTCCTCCCACTGTATCTGTGGTGTCATCTTCTGTCTGAACATTGACTACTGGCTCTATTGAGCCATATCGGTTGCAAATGGATGCAGTACGAATCTAAAGATTAACTGTTTCTTAAGAAATCACATGCGCAAAGCAACTGGATTAGAGGTGTACCAATTCAATTTAAGGATCGAACCTTGGTTTGGTTTGTTTCCTTTTTGTGCCTATTTGATATATTCAACTATTAGATGAAAATCTGCAAGCAGATTTAATTTTACAGGCATCTACTTTAAAAAATAATTTAAAAAAAAAGCTGAAAAAGTGTAGGTATGTTCTGTTGGATAAAAATATCCTTACATTATCTACTTAGTCAAATAAGCCACACTCGACGACTGGAGAATTTTTTTTTTTACCAGTTTTACTTGCAAGGGCAGAGTTCACAACAAGCTGACGCAGATGTTTCATTGAAGCCCGGTCATGATCTGCACCGGACAGTATGGAAGAAGTGATTTTTATGATGTTTGTCTGCTCCTGCAGACAGAGGCAGGTCACGACGACCTCGGCTCACAGACTGGGAGGCATCAGGAGTCTGCAGGCTCCTCTCTGAGAGAAAAAAACAACTCCGCACTCACACACATGGTGCAACATTAATTTAACATTAGTTACTGATAAACATAAATAAACCTTTATCTGAATTCCCCTGATGTTCTTCATAAAGATTGTATCTCCTGTATGCATTTGATTTAGTGGATACATTTTATTTTGGTGCTGTCTGTCTGATGCCTACTGTTTAAGAGTCGAACTGCAGCAGTGCTGGTTAAAACAGGAACAGACACTGAAAATGTGCTTCACCCTGACCATGTGAATCAACTAAACTTCCATTTTTTCTTTTCAATAATCGTTAGTACAGAAAATGCATTTTGCTGTTTATTGCAGATAAACTAAAATAATGATAAACATGTCTGCAGCTGGCATTTACATTTTCTATTAAGATAATTTTTTTTTTTTTTTTTTTGTTAAAGTCAGGTTTTTTGAAAGTATATGTAATTTTTAAACATCCCTGTTTGCGAGTGGTCATTTTGTTGATAGGCAATAAAAAGTAAGCCTGCGTAATTGATTGAATATTATTCTATGCTTACCTATATTACACTGAATTTCAATATGTTCAAATGAAACACAACATACATCTCACTGAATCATCATTAAGGGCTCAACTGAATTGTGTTACTGTTTTATGCTGCTCATGTATTTTTAATGAATCAGATTTTTGCCAGTGTATGAAAATAAGTTACATATGGACCACTGACCAGAGATCACAACTATAGCATGCGAAGCTGATAATACTTCAAGAAAAAAAAAACATTTACTTACAGTTTAGTTCTTAAACTGAGCTGCCTCATTTGAGGCTTATGGTTTAAAAGATCATTCATTAAAAGCTATTTTTGTCTGTATTTTTTCAGTAGATTATGGCATTTCTGTAATATTTACGAACAAAAAAATAAATTAATTAACTAATATAATTAACTGCATTTATTGTCAACATGTTTTCCCATGGTTACCGTATGCATATAGCTCTTGTTTACTGTGTACACTGGCTTTTACACCCATACCATGCTTGAGTTTATGTAATTAAACAATAATAAGACTTGCCTTGCCAATTAGCTGGAACATGTTTGTTTTGCGTGTCCAGTGTGTTTAACTGGTAGCTGTTTGCAGTGTATTTGGAGGCTTGTTGTTTGGGATTTTGCCTGAAGGGCAGCCAATAGCTTTATTTGGACAGAGTGCATCTGTCATCTTGTTGTTTTTTAGGCATGCAAAAGTCTGCAGCCCGAGGACTCAGAAAGCATTTTAAATGTTAAAACACCCATGTGCCAAAAGCTTGCTGCTGAAATAACACCACAAATCTCACTTAGCCTTATCTTTCAATTTCCTCCAGAGTATAGCAGGGGATCTGATGATTCGTAACATTCAGCTCAACCATGGTGGGAAGTATGTCTGCGTTATCGACACAGATGTGGAGAGCCTGTCCACCTCTGCAATTCTGGTTGTCAAAGGTAACTGGCTGATTTTAGCAGCTTGTTTTTGCACATCATTTTATGAATAACCTTGTATATCCACTTCTGTAGGTAGAAGGGGTGAAAGTGAAAGACATTTGATAGATAAGTGTGAAAGATCCCTAAGGCTTCTTATAGAAATACAGTGTAGAAAAGCAAAAAAAAAAAGAATGTTGCCTGAGTCCATGTTATGTCAGCTTCAATTAATATCATATAAATACAGCACGTACTGCTGAAATGTAAAAAAGGACACAGAGGCGTGTGCAAGTACGTGTTTAGTTGTGCTGTAGTACATTTATTTTATGTGTGTTTGATTTATCTAGCACAGTGTGCAGTATTATTTCTGATGAATACATAGGTTGTCAAGTCCTCCCTAAAATGAAGCTGGACCAGGCTCTTAGAGAAACATGCTTACCACTGAAAACAACAGTAGTTAGCTGATGGTAACACTTTACAATATTGTACACAAATTGTGATGAACTACTATGGATAACCTCAGGAACGAATCAGGAGCTAATGGGTAGTTATCCAGTACTTACTGGGAAACACACAGCCAAGTCTTATCAGGGGACTACTGGCTAATAGCCAGGCAATGATTACACTTTGGTACTTAGTAAGTGATAGTCAGACATAGTTAAGATGACAGCAGTATAATATTATGAAATTGTGAATCAGTGGTAAGAATCCAATAAAATCAGTAATCACTAGGAAACAAGTTTTTGACAATTACGAGCTGTGACCTCACTGGTGCAGGGTTTATTCAGAACCCACGTGGAGAATTTCTCCTCTGTTTCTGTGGTAACAAACCAAACCCTAATAAGGCTTGGCTGTGTGTTCCCTAGTAAGTACTGGTTAACTACCCATTAGCTCCTGATTTGTTCCTCTTTGGTTTCCTTAGTAACTACCCATTAGTTCTTGATTAGTTCCTCTTCATTTACAAGGTAACAAACCAGTAGTCCCCTAATACGGCTTGACCGTGTGTTCCCCAATAAGTACTGGTTAACTACCCATTAGCTCCTGATTTGTTCCTGATTCATTCCTGAGGCATTCCCTAGTAGTTAATCAAATTTTGTACACCTTATTGTAAAGTGTTACTTCTAATTTACTCAAATGTTTTATAATATTGATATTTTTGGGTGTAATTGGGACTTTGAGTACAAAATTTAATTCCACCTCATGTACCACATGAGATGTGAATGCCATTAACATCACCTTGAACCTTGATTTATCTTTCCACTTTCTGTGACCTCTTGCTGACACATCAACTTGTCCACCCCCCCACAAGCACACACACAAAGTTAACACATACTTTGGATTCAACTGTGTAACGCAGTGCAGAAAATTTTGTTAGTTTGAAGAGAAGTTTTTGAAACAGGAAATCACCTCTAGTTCATCCTCTATTTTTGTCTTATTTATTCAGGTCCTCCAGGCCCTCCAGACAAAGTAGCAGTGGAGGAAATTACAGACAGTACAGCACAGCTGTCCTGGACTCCTGGAAGGGACAACGGCAGTCCCATTACTGGTTACATTGTTCAGGCTCGGACGCCGTTCACGGTGGGATGGCAGGCTATTGACACAGGTATCCCAAAACTGCAATATTTTTACTATAACATGAGTATTTCATACAGTTTTCACTTTTTTACTCATGTTTGTGTGTGACACCATAAATGTATTAAATTCTAATTTCCATTTTGCAGTGCCAGAGGTGGTCGGTGGTAACATGCTGACTGCCACGGTGGTGGGTCTAAATGCCTGGGTGGAGTACGAGTTCAGGGTGGTAGCCCGTAATGCCGTAGGCCTTGGAGAGCCAAGCCCAGCCTCAGCCAAGACCAGAACAGAGGATGCTAGTATGTAAAAATAATTTAAAAAAAAAGCAAATTTATTACACATTAAAGGAATTGACATTGTTCATTCTTGGTATTTCTATTAGAATGGCCAAATATGCTTTTTGTCTGTTTTTTTTTATTCTAAACAAAATGTGCTTAATTTGTATTAACAAATGTACAACCACAAGCTGTGTTGGTAAACAGGAAGTTATCATGCACTGCACCAGCACAACAGAGAGGAGGAAGTGACAATAACTGTCCCTTCACCATTTATTGAAAATGTTACAGTAGTTGACACAAACTGAGTAAACAGGGCTTATAGTAAGATATTTTATTCTTTGTTCTCAATTCTACTGCAGTTTATACATTAATTATGTCACATAAATGGTACATAAACTTTAGATTTTATTGTTGTTTTGTTTCTTGGTGCGTGCATGTGTTTTTTTTAACATTAAAATTTTGTTAATTTTGGTTAATTTTACACAGTGAACACAACAAGAAGTCAGATTTGTTGGTCCTGGTATTGGTTGAGCAGTTTTAGCTAATTCTTTCTAAAATTAGGTAAAACAAGCAAAGTATTAAAGCTAAAAATCGAAAGCAGGACTTGGACTTTCAAAGTTTTGGAAAAAAGAAAATAAATTTATAAAAGTGATTGAAATGTGAAAACATGAACTGCTCTTGAAACAAGTTATTGTCAATCTTGTGGGCTTCAAACTAAATTAATGGTTGTATTTACCAATTATTACAATAAATATGGCTGTCTATATATTACGCATAGAAAATGTAAACTACATGTTTTTAATGCATGTGAAGAGGAAGGAAGTAAACAAATTGAAAAATGAGCTGTGGAAAGCAGACCAAAGTTATGTGAATCAGTGTATGACATAATTAAGTGAAATACAGGTGCATCTCAAAAAATTGAATATGGTTAAAAAGTTCAATAGTTTTTGTCAAGTCACTTCAGAAAGTGAAACTCATATTAGATCCAAATTTACAGAGTGAAATATTTCAAGCCTTTATTTCTTGTCATTTTGATGATCATGGCTTAC